ACTTTTCCATCCATTCCCTTATTTCCTCTTTAGCATCTACATTGATCAATCTCAAATATGTTTCAGTTGTTAATTTTCGTGAAGTTCTTTGAGTTTGTTTAGATCTGCAGAACTAAAACATTCAAAGAACTTTATTTTCTACCCATTTCCAAAGAGGTGTATATGTGTGGTTCATTTATGTTTTTCCCTCCGTTAGTCCCTAGAACAGTGATCCCCAACCTTTTTGGGTAGCGGGTGCCATGCGGGGCTGCCGGACCGCCTGGGAGCAGGGACGGGGCCGTGCAAGCGCCACGCGCCCGGGGGGCTGTGCATGTGCTGCATGCCCAGGGGTCGCACATGCGCCGCGGCTGCGCATGCACTGTGCCCCCAGGGCCAGCACCGTGGATGTGCTGCGCGCCCGGGTTGGGGGCCGCACATGTGCTGGGTGCCCGGGGGTGGGGCTGCGCATGCGCCGTGCTCCTGGGGGTGGCGCTAGGTGGGCGCGCATAAATGCCCCGGCAGGTGCCATGGCGCCCACGGGCACCGCGTTGGGGACCACTGCCTAGAAATACTCAAAAAACTTTAAAGCAATATTGCTGAATGGAACTTGAGCTTTGGTTATACAGCTGGTTCCTTTATAGGCCCAGGGATCTTCTTACAAGAATCCTGTTGCAGGACTGAAGTCTGTGTGCAAAAGCAACAACAAAAATGCATAGGGATAACATTTTCAAAAGTGCCTTCATGGGTCAGGCATCTAAATCCCATTTTCAAAAGCGACTTAGACTTCAGACCTAGGAACCATTCACTTTCCGTAAGACATAAGATTCCCACAGGCTAGAATTTGAAAAGTATTTAGGCTAGGGATGTGAAAGGTTAACTGTTGGGGGCTGGAGCAGCTCCCCGCCTGCTGCAGCAGGGGGCTGTTCTAGCTCCACTAGGCCCACTGTGGACAGGGGCTGCTCTGGCTGCCTGGAGCAGCCACTGTCCACGGCAAGCCTGGGGGAGCTGTAGGCAGGGGCTGCTTCGGCTGGGCTGGAGCAACCCCTTCCTGAGGCAGCGGGAGTAGGAGACTGCTCCAGCCCTGCTGCGGTGGGCTGAAGGGTGGCTTCGGTCCAGCTGGGCCAGAGCGGCCCTCCTGCCTATCCCCTTTTTAATTGGTTCAACATCATGTTTAACCGGTTGACCAATTAAATGGGATTTTACATCCCTAATTTAGGCACCTACAGATGCAGATAGATGCCTCAGGGGATTTTCAGAAGTGTCTAAGCAGGTTAGATGCTGACTTTATATTGTTTTAAGCAGGAGGTCAGTACCTAATTTCCTTAGGTGCTTTTAGAAATCCTATGAGGCCTCCATGTGCATCATTAGGTGCCTAAATATCTTTGAAATCTGGTCTTCAGGATAGTATCCTCAAAGGTATTAATACCTCTCTGGTTCTTAAGCCCAGATCCTAAGTCATGTTTCAAAATGGGACTTAGGTACCTAGGATACTTTTGAAAATGTTATCAGCAAAATAAATTTAGGATTGTCTGTTTTGAAAAGTAAAGGTTAGTCCATGTACTAAATCACTTTTGCTTAAATGTAGCACAAATTTGGCACCCCAGAATGGAATTTTAGCTTGATACGATTTGCAATGGCCAAGATATCAAATTCTTTTTATTGTTAAGCGGGGTTATAATGAGAAGCTAATACAGGTTGAACCTTTCTAGTCCAGCACCCTCAGGACCTGACTGGTGCCAAACAGAGAATTTGCCAGACCATGGAAAATTTGCCATTGACCATAGGTCAATATTGTCTAGCAGCATTACCAACACTTCCACTGCTTACTGGACTCTTAGAAGACATTTATGGGTCAGTTAGTGTTCTGTGCTGTTATTTAGCTCTGAGAGCAAGGACTGGTGGCTGTGAACAAATTTTATGGGACCGCAAGAAACTTGGCTACACCCATGATAAGTGGACATCTGGCTAACTAAAATCATGACAAACCCCAGATATTGTCAGACCAGAGAGTGTCAGACTAGAGAAGTTCAACCTGTATAATCTTAACGAAAGTGGCTCTGCCTTGATTGACACTAGTACTTCTACTTTGCAGTAACCTAACAATGTTCATCCCAAGGTTTCAGCACGATTTGCAAACATCAATTAATTAAGCCACTTAAAGCTTCTCATTAGAAATTTGAGAGTGCTCCTAAGACTTGATTTGATTGAGAAATAAAACAGGTAAGAGCTAATAGGAGATAATCTCCCAAACCTAAGAAAATATGAAATAAATTTAATATTGCATTGTATTTTGTACAATCCAACAGAAGCAGAGACGATATCCAAATGCTTTCAAAAGCAAATGCCTCAGGAAAAGGATAGGTATTACATGGAATGAAATGATAACAATTGAGGATATTTGTCAAAGTTCCACAACTTTTTAAAGCCAAAGTTATCCAGGAGAGAAGATGGAAATATTTGGAACGTATTAAGAATGAAGCCAGAGCATCTGCAGTGGCAGGGGTATGATTGGACAGCTGGAAGAACACACAAGAGAGGCAGAAAGAATTTCTCCATCCAACACTAGAGAGAGGGATGACTTATGAGCTTTAACATAGGGGCATGCTAAGAGAAGCCCGGGATAGACGGAAGGCAGGGTCTTGTTCATGCGCTGATGTTCAAGAGTGTAAGATACTTGCTGTGGCAAAGCTCTGGCTGTGTCCCAGGGGTCCTGTGTTTCCTGGTGGTTAGTGTTTGCCTCAGAGGCTCACTGTGACCCTCCACACAGCCGCTGGCCCTTTAACTAGAGGCAAAGGTCACAGCCTACTGAGCTATCCTCATCATAGGTTAGTACATGGCTACTTAACATGCGGCCCGGGAGCCACATGTGGCCTGCGGCCCATTTGTTTTCAGCCCACAGTGCGGTTTGGGTTTACATGGGGCTCAAAACGCAGCCGACAGGTGAGATCCTTTGAACATGGCCTCCACTGGGAACATGCTCCACAAATTCCTGGACTGTCATTTCTCATTAAAAGTCCTGTCATATGGGTGGAAAATCGGGTAAATATTGCATTTTATTAATATCAGCAGAAATGACTTAAATGGGGCCTGCATGTTGTGTAGTCTTGCCTTAATCTTTGTATTCATGCTGGTCAGTATGAAATAAGCTATTTGCATATATTTGCATGTATATGCAACTTAAGTTGCGGCCCTTGGTATATTCTGTGAGTATCATTGTGGCCCCTAGGGCTTCCAAAGTTGAGTAGCCCTGGGCTAGTACATAGTTTGGGGTGAAACTCCTCCATAGTTCTGGTCCCTCCCTCACAGGGACAAACACTGTAGTGGTGTGGGGAGGGTTGGGAGGAACCCAGGCCTGCCCCCTATTCTGGGTTCCAGCCCATGGATCCTAAGGGAGTGGCAACTAGCAGAGTTTTCTCCATTTCCAATCTTTGTAGCTTTTCCCTGGGCCACTTCCCCAAACAATCCCTCCGAGTACCTACTCCCTAATACCTGAGCAATCCTTTCTGTTCCTCCACAGCACTTTACCAAACTCACAGTCCTTATTCTCAGAGCACCTCCTCATTATCAGTCCTTGGCCTTTCTTCTACCCTTTCTGATGGGAAGCCATTTAAACTGGTCCCAGCAGGACTTAATTGTCTGCAGGTGCTCTGATTTAGGGATGTGAAGGAATAGTCGACTAGCCGCTTCCCCACCCCCTAGCTGCCTCTGTCAAAAGAGGCAGCAGGGGGAAGGGAGGAGAAGAAGAGGGGGTATTTCAAAATGGCAGCACCACATGGAGCCCGGGATCAGCTGGGGTCTCCCTAGCTGATTCCAGGCTCTGTGTGGTGCTGCTGCTTTGAAATGCTGCTGACCCCGGGCTGCAAGCGGAGCTTTTGCCTTTGAAGTGTAGCAACAGGCCTAGGGTGGAGGCACCCTATCAACTAATTGAATAGTCGATGCAAAATGCATCGACTATTCGATTAGTCAATTACCTGATATTTAACATCCTTGATCTGATTAGCCTGCTGCTTCAGGCAAGCTCTTAATTGGCCCCAGGTGCCTTCCCGCCTTGATTATGGGGTAGCCGTGCCTGGCCAGTTCACTCAGGGTACAGAAACATATTCACCCAGTTTCCTATATATTTGCCCTCCACCAAGCTACTGTAGCCAGCTGCCCTGGGTCTGCCACATTAGTAAGTGAAGGCACAGAGAAATTGTCTAAGGTCATATCGCAAGACAGTGGCAGAGCTGGGAGTGGAATCCAGAAGAGATGACTCCTGGTAGCTTGTTCTAACCAGAAGTCACCAGAGTCTCCCTGAGTGTTTTCATTTACTGGAGAAAAGTTAATTTTGATGCATCGACATTCTATAAAGGTTTTGTCTGGGGTTTACTATTCACAACACACACAACCACTTCCAAATGATTGACAAGGTACTAAGTAACAAATATTGCAAAAATGTCTTTGACTGTGAACTCTTTGGCACTGGGCCCACCACTTCTTGGATTTTGGGAAAGGACCTAATATTGCACTCGTTTGCCCTTGGAAGCACTGTTTCAATGGGCTTCTGCATGAGCTCCATGGTGAGCCACTATGCAAACAAATGTAGGCTCAGAGCCTCCTACGGTAACACAAATATGGCAGAATGATATTTTCTTGCATCTGGAAGCCCATGCTTGATGAGTTCTCATTTAGTTTGCTGCTCAGATATTATGAGTTCTTAGTAGTCCACTTAAATTTCCAGGAGGCTGTCATTGCCTCTATTAACAGCGAAACCTCATATTCTAATCAATGTCGTCTGACCTATAAAATATCTGGGGCTAGATTTACAGGCTCACTGCAGCAGCTTTGCACCGCTCCAATGAAGCAGAGTCTATAAAGTCATCTTAACTGGCTAGTTAAACAGGGTTGATGGCTGCTTTGCATTGTTGGAGGGACACCAAGCAGCTGGAGTGAAACTGGCAAAGTTGGCACCGATCTTGGGCGTTCACACTGTGAAAAGGATGCCGTTTATTTGAGCCCATGTCTTTTTTTTTCTGGTTCAGAGCTGAAGAAGAGCCTTCCTCCTTCAACAGTAACATGCCCGCAGTCCTCTCAGCCAATGATTCTTTTGCAGCAGAAAGGACATCCTCCTCTTCCTCGCTCTGAGAAGCCTTCATCTCCTCCTATGTCAGTGGCCGCAAGGCCAAGAGCCAACTCACCACTGTCCCCGCAGAAACCTTTTGGACTGGGGCCGTCCTTGCAGCACTCACAAGAGGAGGAGTTTGCAAAGGGAGTGGAGCAGGATCCTGTGCTGGAGGAACTATGTAAGCCGCTGTGTTGTAAACTTTGCAATGTCACTCTGAATTCAGCACAGCAAGCCCAGGCTCATTACCAGGTGAGGAGACACACAGGAAGAAAGATATTTAGATTCATTGTTCCTGGGAGGCACCTCCCACATTTTCAGTATGAAACGAGATGTCGGGCAAGACTTATGAATCATGGGGCCTCACGCTGCCATAAGTGAGGGAGTCGTGCCCGGAGCTTCCTCCCCTGGTGGTCTCACTGCCAGAGGCAGGCAGGGTATGGAGGCAGATGAGGCTCCTCTTTTGGATCCCACCCTAGAAGGAGGGTTACTGACGCTACACAAGGTCTAAGAGTGGAGCTCTAATGAGTTACTTATCTTAGTTGTGCTTTAGGCTGGAGCTCATCATAGTTTTTTCATCAAAACTTAACCTCCCCCCGCATGAAGAATGTTGCCTTTTCGACTAAAATAACATTTTTAATGGAAAATTTTTATTTAAGTCGAAGTATTTCATCCCTCCCCCAGCAGAACCAGAAAGCAAAACCTGATTTCTTTTGTATAAATGCTTGATTTTCAAAATAGAAAATAATTTCACATGTTGTTTTTCAATTAAAAAAATACTGACCCTAGTGCTGACATTCCCTAACTTGCTTTACTCAAGGCCTTGAAAAGATGAAGGGTTAAAGAAGCCGTTTTAGGAGTTGAGGTTTGTTCTTTTTACCAAAATGTGTTGAATCATCTGCAATATTGCCAATTCCAAGTGTTCAGAAACCATACATCCTAGAATGTTAAAAAAAGGAAAGCTGAGATTCTCACATAATCGCCTAAATCAAGGAGCCAGGACTTTTAAGAAAAAACCCCAAATATCACGAGACTCATGATAAAATACTGAGAGTTGGAAGCCTTGCATCTTTTTCCACAAGTAGTCTTTGGCTACACAGGAAAGGTGGACAAATCTATTTAATAAACAAGTAGGGACGTATACAACAGTGGCCCTTGATCTTAATACAGTTTCACTCCTACTGCCATCATTTAATTTTCAGTTTAATCCTCTGCACTATAACCAAAAACCTTAGAGGCCAGGTTCTCCTCTACACTAGGCACATTTCCATTGTCCTAGCAGTGTAAAGAGGCTGTAAAACAGTCTGCCAATGTAATTTTCTCATCCTAGAACAGGGGTTCTCAATCTTTTTGGATTCACTCACTTGCTTTTTTAAACTTAGAGCCACTGCCTCCTTAAAAAACATGACTTTCCCAAGTAATCTAGATGGAACTGGGGCCATTAAATGTATTGATTCCAGTAAAAGGGATTTTACCGTGATTGATTACTGTCCATAAGCTAGGACTAGCCTAACATTTGAAAAGTATGTATTTTAGTTTCCACAATGCTTTCAGATCACCATTTCTCAATTTCAGTATCACAGAGTGCTAGTTGGCATTGTAACCCTGAGAACCAGGATGCAATACCATTCACTAGGCCTTGTTGCCCGTCCAGTAGATGGAGCAGCAACTGAGCTAAATCGGAGGGAATGGGATTGGAAGCCTGTGGGAGCACTATAAGGTGAATGAGAAGGCTCATCATACTCCGCCTCCCCCGCCCTGAAAGTCTGATTAGGTCCTAGTTGAGGAAGACTGTACTAGAAGTTTTCTTCAAACTGCCAGATTGGCATAAAGGGCCCTTAGTTAAAATGAGAAATCTGGTACTAGATTCCCCCTTTAAAATGGAGGGGAAGAGGCGATTCCTCAGTTCAGCTAAGGCCAGCTAGGGTTGCCAGATGTCCAGTTTTCACACGGACAGTCCGTTATTTCTGGCCCCTGTCTGATAAAAAAAAACCCAGAAAATACTGGACATGTAAAATGTCTGGTATTTTCTGTTTTTCTTGGATGGAAGAATGTGGGGACATTGTTACATTGTTTCCCTGGCTGGTCTGGTGTGGATGGGAGGAAGCAAAGAGCGTGTGGATTTTTAAAGGCACAGTGACCTTTTTGTCCGTCTCCCCCTGTTCCCCCCTCCTTTTTTTTTTGCTCAATCAAATTTTTTTCCTGCCGTTTTCGGGATTTTTGGTGAAAGCATCTGGCAAGCCTAAGGCCAGCAAAAAGTTCTGATTTTCCTTCCAGTTCTAATTTTAAAAGATATTTTTTAAAAAATACTAATTACGCATCTTTTCTCCCATCGTGGCTGCTTTTAGCAGTGGATGCCAGTTTAGCAGGTGTATATCCTTGGGGTGTGGGAAGTGGGGGAATTAATTGAGCAGGCTCTCTTGAGACTGAGGAGTGCGCTCTGTGAAACACAGACAGCAGGGGGCACTATAAGGAGAAATCATTCCCTTTGCTCTTAGACCATGCCATACATCTGGTTCATTTGGACTTTCCTGGTCTTTGAGTAGGACTTGACTACACAAACTGGGGTGTGGTATATGCCAGACACCATTGGATTAGCCAGCTTCTCTATCTGGCTGCATATTTCTTTTGTTATGGTTCATGCTATGGGTCCCCAGAGATCCTCGCTCCTTCTGTGCTTCAGACTGGTAAGAACACCATCATATTGGAGACACAACTTCCAACAACTTCTAGATATCATAATTTGGGGTGGCTGGTCTAATAGTATTGAATTCACTGCTGCTTCCCAAGCCAAAGAGAGTGCCAGTTTACTGACCTTCTGGGTATGTTGCAATAGTTTCCATTTCATTTTTTCTGGAGGAGTGTACTGCACAGGGAGCGCTGAGCATATTTCTATATTATTGGGATGGATTTTCAAAAAAAGCTTCTAATTTTTGCAGGCAGAATTCTGTAGTTTCATTGCTTAGGTTTGCTGGCTGGCCTGGAAAGTAGGGATGTCATAGTGTAGCCGGTTAAATGATGAACTGAAGTGGATTCTTATCAGTTAATAATACTACTGGCTAAATACAACCTCCCCACAATCCATGGCTCTGCTCAGTAAAATTTATAGTGGGCTGGCTCAGTCCCAGCTTGCACTGGGACCGGGAGCTACCCCTGCTACAGCTGTGCATGCAAAGTAATTTAGGAGCTGGTGGGCAGGCAGCCTGGCTCGGTCCCAGCTCACGCCGGATCCCCGGAGCTACCCCCGCTGTGGCTCTGCAATAACATGCACATAGCTCCCAGGACTGAGCCTGCCTGTCTGCCAGCCGGCTCCTAAATTATTTTGCGTGCAGAGCCACAGCAGGGATAGCTCCCAGGACCTGGTGCAAGCTCCTAAATTCCTTGGCATGCAGAGCCGTGATGGCGGTAGCTCCCGGACCCAGCACGAGCCAGGTCTGAGTGCTTGCAGTGCTATTCCTCATCGATGAGTTGTGTTGTCGACACAATTTTTGTTGACTACACGATTAACGAATTACACGCTTCTTAACAACCCTACTGGAAAGCATGTCCCGTGCCATCTCAGGAGCCTCTCTGTTCCCAGGTCGTCTTCAGAAGTCTCCTCCCCCACGCTCCTGTCCCTTCAGGCATAGTTCCACGGTACAAGCTGCTTTCTGCAGGCTGCTCTGTGGTTTCTTTCCCAGAAAGGAAACACCCAACTACCTCTGTGCCAGGTCCCCTCTCCCTATTGCCTTGCTGCACTCTCTTGATGGAAGCCATCCAGGTTGGTTCTTCACAGCTGGATCTAATCATCACTTCAGGGGCCACAGTATGGCTTTGGGCTCCCCTCCATCCTTTCAGTGCTAGTGTGGGGTGCATGCCCCCATCACAGAACCAGGCCCTGCCAGGTACTGAGCAACTCCTGCAGAATGTCAAGCACTGTAATCTCTTATTGCAATCAATGGGAGTCGAGATTGCTCGGCCCCTCTCAGGATCAACGCCTGTCTCTGAGCTGCTAGTGTCATGAGTGCATTTAAATGTCCGCCTCTTAGCTGAGTCCCCTGGCTGCGAGATACAGGTGGGATGCTGCTGCCTGGATAGTGATTAATCCGAGTTCTATTTCCAGGGTAAAAACCATAGTAAGAAACTGCGGAATTACTATGCTGCAAATAGTTGCCCAGCTCCTGCCAGAATGAGCACTTCAGTGGAGCCTGCTGTGCCTCACATTGTCTCTCTTCCAGCTCAGGTAAGACCCCGGGGAGGTGGCTGAGGGCGTGCTGTGCCTGCTTTGACCAAGGTAACTAGCCTCATGCTCTGGGGTGGGATTGCACCAGGGGTCAGAGGAATTTTCCCCTCTGTGTCCAGCATGGTGCCATTAGCCCCGTGTATGTGCTTTTACCAGCAATGCTGGAACAATTTTCATAGAATCCTAGGGCTGGAAGAGACCTCAGGAGGTCATCGAGTCCAGCCCCCTGCCCAAAGCAGGACCAACCCCAATTAAATCATCTCAGCCAGGGCTTTGTCAAGCCGAGACTTAAAAACCTCTAGGGATGGAGATTCTGCTACCTCCCTAGGGAACCCATTCCAGTGCTTCACCACCCTCCTAGGCTGTGTCCAGACTCAGGGGTTTTTTCGGGAAAAGTAGCCTTTTCCCGAAAAAACTTCCCCTGCGTCCAGACTCAAGCCGCGTTCTTTCGAAATTATTTCGAAAGAACGCGGCTTTTCTTTCGATGGCGGTAAACCTCTTTTTACGAGGAAGAACGCCTTCTTTCGAAAGTTCCTCTTTCGAAAGAAGGCGTTCTTCAATGTAAATAGGGCTTCCTCGAAAGAGAGCATACAGACTCGCTGGGTGCTCTCTTTCGAAAAAGCGGATTGCTCTTTCGAAAGATCCGCCTGCAGTCTAGACGCGATCTTTCGAAAGAGGCTCTTTCGAAAGAAGCCTGCAGTCTAGACATAGCCCTAGTGAAATAGTTTTTCTTAATATCCAACCTAGACCTCCCCCACTGTAACTTGAGACCATTGCTCCTTGTTCTGCCATCTGTCACCGCTGAGAAATAAGGATGTTAGCGAGTAGTTGACTCACTACCCTTCCCCCCCCCATCTTGCTGCTTCTATAAGAGGCAGCAAGGGGAGGAGAGAAACAGGAGCTGGTGCTGGGGGGGATCTGGCTTAAAAGCTGGTTCCTCCCAGCACCGTCTCCATGATACCGCCTGCCCACCTCCGCTGCATCTGTCAGAGGCATGGGGGCGGGGAGGAGAGGGGTGGAATAGGGGAGGCTTCTCTAGCAGCATCACTAAGAGTAGTAAGAGGGGCTGTAGTTTCTCAGCAGCCCACGGGAGGTTCTTTGCTGGATCGGAGTCCAGTTTGGGGGCAGATGGTCTGAAAGCATACCTCCCTCAGTGCTGTGGAATCACCTTTCAGGGGTAGGCAGAGGAATCAAGCCCGCGAGGTAGCTGGAGGGGGGAGCAGGAAATGCCAGAGCCATTGCAGAGGTACAGGATCTCTGCACAGAGAGCACCTGCTCTCCAGAGATCTGTGTGGATCTTAGGAGATGTACAGAGTCTGAGGGCCAGACTCCCAACTGGTGCCAAGGAGTGGCAAACCTTCCTTCCCCAAGGGGTAGAATTTAGGGAACCATGCAGAGAACCCCAAGTTCTAATCCCCAGTCTTCCACCAGCTTGCTGAGGGGTCAACTTCAGTGAGCCTGAATCAGTTATTTCCGTTACCCTCTGTTTGAATGTGAGCTTTTCCTTCCTTTTCGTTGCTAGATGGGTTCCTCCAAACCAGGAGGCCGGGTGATCATGGCCACCGAGAATGATTACTGCAAGCTTTGCGATGCCTCCTTTAGTTCCCCGGCAGTAGCTCAGGCCCACTACCAAGGAAAGAACCATGCCAAGAGGCTACGCCTGGCAGAAGCACAGAACAGCTCGTTCTCGTAGGTATTGTTCAACCTTTACAGTAAGGCTGGCCTGGATGTGTGCAGCCGTGGCTCTCGCAGTCTCTGTGGATGTGTCTCTGAGAATGTTAAACCTGAACTGTGTATTTATTTCCCCTTCAGGGATGCAGCAGAACTGGGCAAACGGAGGGCGCGGAAAGAAGGGAGCGACTATAAGATGACGCAGAATAGAAGAAATATGTATGCGGTTCAAAACAGTACAGGTACTGGAGTGCTCCTGTCACCACTTCCATGTTTTGTAGGTCTCACGGTGATTATTGCTTAATGGTAATAGAGATGTAGCCGTGTTAGTCTAGTCTAGCTAAAACAAAAAACAGGACTATGTTGTTTAATGGGTTCACTTCTCTCCTGGGTCCAAGCTCTGATTGACACAGACGGGAGCATTAGGGAGCTTTTTACAACTCTCTTGGGGTATGTCTATACTTGCACCCTCTTTTGAGAGAGGGATGCAAATGAAGACATTTGAAATTGCAAATGAAGCCGGGATTGAAATATCCTGTGCTTCATTTGCATATTTGCGTTATGGCGCTATTTCAAAATAGCACTATTTCGAAATAACAGACGCTATTAAGACGTGGTTATTTTGAGAGAAAACCCTTCTCAAAACCCTTCTCATTGTGTGAGGAATAAGGGGTATTTCGAGAGTAGGGTTTTCTCTCGAAATAACCATGTCTTAACAGTGTCTGAATAGCACTATAATGCAAATATGCAAATGAAGCACGGGATATTTAAATTCTCCCCAGACCTAGGGTTAGATAAGGCAGAGACCTAGTTAGGTCACATGAACTTTATTTTCCCCACCTGGAGAGATAAGCTAATTGTGTCACTGGGGAGATGGGGCCCATCTCTTAAAGTGGCTAGCCACACCGTGACAGGCACCACCTGCCAATGGAGGACTGATGCGGTGGCAACAGGAGTGTCAACAGCCTTGGGCCCTTTAGAATCGCCATGCGGTGCACTGCAGAGCCTGTGCTGCCTGGCTTTGAGGGCTGGTAGGTGATGGGGTGCTGTAAGTGAATGGAGATGCCTATCTCCTAGAACTGGAAGGGACCTTGAAAGGTCATTGAGTCCAGTCCCCTGCCTTCAAAGTAGGACCAAGTACCATCCCTAACAGATTTTGTCCCAGATCGCTAAATGGCCTCCTCAAGGATTGAGCTCAGAACCCTGGGTTTAGCAGGCCAATGATCAAACCACTGAACTATCGCCCTCCCTCCCAACATGCCAGATGGGTGATGCTGGGGGCTGGCTGCCCCAGCTCCGTCCCTTCTGCTTGAGGCCGCGTCCTTTCAGGCACCTGGATCTGCCCCCTCAACCACTGTCAGCTCCCCTGGTGCCCACTGCTCCTTGAAAGCGTCCAGGGAACCAGTGGACGCAGCTCAGAGGAATTCAGCTCAGAGATGTGACTGGAGGGAGGAGCAGAAATAGGCCCACCAGTCACCGAGCACCTCCCTTCCAGCATCCTTCGTATGGTGATGGCCACCGTGGCCAGCGCCGGAAGGTGGCTAATGAGGAGGTCCCATGACTCCATGAGGCCACAGCTGGGGTGAGTATGGATCAGGAGGTGCAGGGAAAAGTACAGCCAGAACCGAAGAATGGCCTGTAAACTGGTGCACTCGATATAAATGTATGTCCCAGCCTCCCTCACATGGCAAAAAGGGCACGTCAGGGAGGGGCTGAACTGTGCCCGGAGCTTCCAACTAATATCCCTGGTGGTAGGCCAGGGTCTAGGGTAGAATATAGACTGGCCCACCAGAGAGCCTCATCCTCCCCAGGTGGCAGCGCCCTTTGGTGTCAGGTTAGGACATGAGGGGGAGGAAGTGAAGAGTATGGAGTACGAGCAGGTACAATTGCTTCCTAGGCTTGATTCAGAAATGGACCGACTGCAGGTCATGCAGCCAGCTTAGGTGGGGCAGAGGGGACTTTAGGGGGTGGCTCGTTGGGCAGGGCCCTGTTGGGGAGGTCCATAGGAGCAGAGGTGGGGGTGGGTGGGGAGTACCCTCCAGAAGGGCCTGTTTGAGGAAGGCCCGAGATGCAGGTGATAAGGCTGCCATCGCCTCCTGGACTACACACCAGGAAACACGAAGGGTGGAGAGCCCATGTGCCAATCAAGTGCATTCACCTAGTCCTCCCAGTCGTAATTCAGGAGGTCTTCATTGAGCTGGGGATTGAAGTCAGTCATGGCAGCTGAGTGAGAGCCCTATCCTGGCTGACTGTTTACCTCACAGCCAATAGCTGCAGAGAGTCAAGTGTGTTTATGATTTTGCAGTCCCCCTGGCCAAAGCGTCTGTCCAGAGGCAACACAGCAAGCTGCGATACTGTGCCTCTATTGCTGCAGTTTTGGGGGCTGTGCATTAGTCCCCATCATAGTATTGTATAGTTGGGATTATTTTTTCCAATGTGCATTACTTTGCATTTATCAACATTAAAATTCACTTGCCATTTTGTTGCCCAGTCACTTAGTTTGGTGAGATCTTTTTGAAGCTCTTCCCTGTCTACTTTGGTCTTAACTATCTGGAGCAGTTTGGTATCATCTGCAAATTTTGCCACCTCACTGTTGAATCCTTTCTCTAGATCATTTAAAAATAAGTTGAATAGGATTGATCCTAGGACAGACCCTTGAGGAATCCCACTAGTTACCTCTCTTCACTCTGAAAACTTACCATCTATTCCGACCCTTTGTTTCCTGTCTTTTAACCAGTTATCAATCCATGAAAGAACCTTCCCTCTTATCCCATGACAACTTACTTTACTTAAGAGCTTTTGATGAGGGACCTTGTCAAAGGCTCTCTGGAAATCTAAGTACTCTATATCCACTGGATCCTCCTTGACCACATGTTTGTTGACCTCCTCAAAGAACTCTAGTAGATTAGTAATGAGGAGTTCAGAGTGTGGGAGGGTGCTTTGGGCTGGAATCGAGGAGTTTAGCTGGTGGGAGGTGGCTCTTGGCTGGCACATGGGGGAGTTGAGGTGTGTGGGATATGTGTGGTGCTTACCTGAAGTGGCTTCTGAAAGCAGCAGCCTGTCTTCCTACCAGATCCCACATGGTAGTGGGGACACATGGCTCTGCATGCTGCCCATCCACAGGAACCACCCCCATTGCTCCCATTGTCTGCGGTTCCTAGCCAATAGGATCTGCAGAGCCAGTGTTTCGGAGGGAGGGGTTAGCATGCAGCGCCCCCTGGATGCTCCTGCTTCCGGGAGGTACATGGAGGCATTGCACATTATAGAGCAGAGCAAGGCATGCCCCTCACTCTGCACCAGATTGTGCTCCCCGGTGAGGGCTTGAGGATCATATTACAAAGTCCAATGGGTTGGATGCAGTCTGTGGGTTGTAGTTTGCCCACCCCTGGTGTCGATACTGCACTGAAATGTAATATTGATAAAAGTGGAAGAGGGAAGGGTTGGATTGGGAGCAGCTCAGTGCTGATGCTGCATTTAAATTTAATGTTGATAAATGCAAAGTAATGCACATTAGAAAACACAGTCCCAACTATGACAGGGTGTAAATTAGCTGTTGCCACTCAAAAAAGAGATCTTGGAATCATAGTGGTTAGTTCTCTAATAGTTCAATGTGTATGTAGTGACAATCAAAAAAGCAAACAATGTTGGATATCATTAAGAAAGGGATAGATAATAAGCCAGAAAATATCAAATTGACTAAGAATAAATCCATGTTACGTCTACATCTTGAACACGGCATGCAGATGTGATTGCCTCCTCTCAAAAAAGATATATTGGAATTGGAAAAGATGCAGAAAAGGGCAAGAAAAATGATTAGGGATATGGGGAGAAATTAATAAGACTGGGACTTTTCAGCGTGGAAAAGACAACTAAAGGGGGATATGATAGAGGTCAATAACGTGGGGTGGAGAAAGTAAATAAGGAAGTACTATTTGCTCCTTATAACACAAGAACTTAGGTTCATCACATGAAATTAATAGGCAGCAGATTTAAAACAAACAACAGATTTAAAACAAACAAACAAACAAACAAATGGAAGTATTCTGTCACACAATGCATACTCAACTTGTAGAAATCTTTGCCAGAGGATGTTCTGAAGGCCATGCTATAGCAGGGTTCAAAAAGAATGAGATAAATTCATGGACGATAGGTCAAGTAGTGGCTATTAGCCAGGAGGGGAAAGAATGGTGTTTGCCAGAAGCTGGAAATGAGTGACGGAATGGGTAACTTGATGATTACCTGTTCTGTTCATTCACTATGGGGCACCTGGCATTAGCCAGTGTCAGAAGACAGGATAATGGATTAGACAGACCTTTGATCTGAACCAGTATGGCCATTTTTATGTTGCTTACATGGATGTTGCTGCCTTTCAGAAACTGTCCCATAATGCCCAATACTGGCAGTTAAATTGGTGCAAGTGCTTCTAATGAGGATGCACACCATCAACACAAGGAGCATGCATGTTAAACCGATTCAATCACGACAGTGGCTGTACATCAGTGTAACTCATGTTGGTTTAATTTTTTTAGTGTAGACTTGTCGTAGGTCCTGTTGACTTCAGAGAGAGTTAAGCACCAATGCAGGTTAGATGCCTTTGAAAAGTTTACTAGGTACCCACCTGTATCTGTAGGTGCCTACATATCTTTGTAAATCTTGGCCTACATGCTTAAGTCTCTGTTGAAAGTAGTCTCCCAAATCACATTTTACTCTATGGGTATGTCTATATTGCATTCCTCTTTCAAGAGAGGAATGCAAATGCAGCTGAGTGAAATTGCAAATGAAGCGTGGATTTGAATTTCCTGTGCTTCATTTGCATAATCGCGTCCGGTTGCTTTTTTGAAATACCCTATGTCGAAAAAAGAAACACTGTCTAAATGAGGTTTAAAGTAATTTCGAAAGAAGGGTTTTCTTTTGAAATAACTGCGTCTAGATAGCGTTTCTTTTTTCAAAATAGGGTATTTCGAAAAAGCGGCTGGATGCGATTATGCAGTGAAGCATGGGAAATTCAAATCTGCGCTTCATTTGCAATTTCGCTCTGCTGCATTTTCATTCCTCTCTCGAAAGAGGAATGCAGTGCAGACATACCCATAGACCTTAGCGACTGTGATGTGTGAGGCTTGAAACACTGCAGGGTTCCTTTTGCTTGCACATAAATGGACTCCTTTATTTTCTCTGCAGGACCCTACTTCAATCCACGCTCCCGCCAGCGAATTCCTCGCGACCTCGCCATGTGTGTCACCCCAAGTGGCCAGTACTACTGTTCGATGTGCAATGCTGGGGCTAGTGAAGAGATGGAGTTCCGACAACATTTAGAAAGCAAACAGCACAAAAGCAAGGTGTCCGAACAGCGGTATAGGAATGAGATGGAGAATCTTGGCTATGTACAATGACATGCTATCCCTTGGTAGTAGTTTGCTGATAGAGCAGCTTCTCTCGCCTGCTGTTTGCCACATGCCCTGCTTTGTGCTCCATTTGATAGGAGTATGCTCTCTAGCTATACATGTAACACCTGCAAACGTTAACAGTATGGTTAGGGGTTTTTTTATATCACTGTTGGCAGGAATGTGCTCTGCAGGACATGAAGTGGTTTTAATGTTTGTTTGCTCGTTATCTATAGCTCTTCATTGCATTTCTGGGGAGCCCTATCCTCCCCCATGCCCTGTTGCATGAGTGTGCAAGGCCCGAGAAGCAGTGGGACCACTACGGTTCTGCCACACAGGCAGGGTATGTGATGCAACAGCCATTTTGGCAGATCCTGGAGCTGTGCTCTGTAGCATCACTCTGCAACAGGAAGAGTTTATGGGCAGGCTGGAGAAGAGATGGGAACAGAACGCCAGCATTGCTGGACACACAGTGCTGGTTGCGAAAGAGGCGACAACCACAAATACAACTCTCAGCAGGTGTCTCTTGCATTCCAAGTAGGTATGGCACAGAGGCCGTGTGCGTACCCTATGGGAGGAACCTATCTCCCTTACCATCATGTAGGCCACCCTCACTTCAGGGGGCTGATGAGGATTTCAACCTAACGACTGCAAAAGGAGAATAGCTGATCTGCCCCATAAGCAGATATTTTCCTTGGTCGAGAAGGCTAGATTCCGGTCTGCTCTTGGCAATGGGTTTTTACCACACTGGAGACATGGGTGAAATGCACCTATGGGAGGAGGGCTTGTTGAGGGCCCAGGGGTGAAAGGAACTCAAATTTGATAAGTATTGTCCTATTGCAACCCGCTCTTTAAGCCCTGCCAGCTCTTTAAATAGTTCCCTGCTGGCTTTTGCCACAGCTCAGCTAGTTCTTGCCAGAACTGTACAGCTGGGTGCACCCACTTCCTTTCACCTCTGGGGCCAGAGAGCAGAAGCTAAAATAATCAGCTGGAGGCTCTGTTCTGAGCTTTGGTCCTCCATAGGTCAGCATGGATGGGGAATGAGGGCAAGGAAGGAATTTTGGGCCCTAACACTCTATTGAACTGGTGGGGGGAGGGGGTTAGGTGCTGTTCTCCAGCTGGTAATAGTAGAGGAGGTGGGTCTGCGACATAGTGCAATTCTCTGGAACTTGAGGCTTATTGGATCGCACCTGCCTCAACCTCCTCTCCATTCAGCTGCATTGAACTTGACAAGCATTATGTGAGCAAAGTGAAATTCCCTCCAGCTTCCTTGAGAGGAATTGGGCATATTTCATCTCTTCCCTTTACTCTAAGACTCAGACTGGGCTTTCCTATATCTTTCCTCCCTCCGAATATCAGCCATTTAGGTCTTTTGTTTTAGGGAAGGGGTAACCAGCAGCATGAGTGTAACCTCCCAGTTGGGCTGTCATGTTCTCCCCTGTATTACCTCCAGGCTAGGGGGCTGTACTGTCCCTTTTGTACTCTCCGGGCTGGGCTGCTGTGTTCTCCCATGTTCTTTCTGGGCGAGGCTGCCATGTTGTTCCTGTGTGAGATTTGGGTTGAGCCGCTGTGCTGGGAGAGCTGGGCTGCTTTGTGCTCCCCTGGTCATTCATGTAGTTGTGATTAATTTAATGACCCTTATCATTTTTTTCATGTCCATAATAAATAAGGTCAGAGCCAGGCGGCTGCTGTGGCTATCTCCTTTCCAGACTTAGTTTACAGTTCTGGTTTTATGCTGATAGCTCCTTTGTTTTTTGAGGGGGAGGGTACTAGAAATGAAAAGGTGCTTTGTAGCATTTCCCCTCCTGCTAGAAGCAATGAGTTGATTTCTCCCTTGATGTAATCCTATTGACTTCAGTGGGGCGGCACCAAGGGTGATTATGGCTCGGTGCACGTTATGTTGCAGACAGCCCTGTTTTTCCGCATCCTTAATGTCCCGGCTCCCTAGTTTCTTGGATTCCACCAGCCTTTTTCAGCCTTAAAAAATGGAGTTTCTGTTCATCTTCTCAGTTCAGGGAAGCCACAGAAAGTCTTGCCTCACTTGCGTGCCCAAAAGTAAAAGCTGTTCTTCAGATTGCCACATCTTTTACATCACACTCCTGTACGCCATGAGGTTCAACGGTGATGGGGGACCTCAGAGCAACCATCACATGCTCCCTGCTGAGCCATGTTTATATGCATGGCAGCAAACGCCAGGGTCTATACTGCCTACTGCTGGTTCTCTGCCCAGGGGCTGAGTAAATAAGATTTGCATAGAGGAGCTCCATCAGGTAGAATGTGCGGGAGAACAGAAGCCCCTCTCGCAGAACACAAGCCACTTCTCCTGTGCTCTCACTGGCTGGCCCCAGGCTGTGCTTATTGATGTACTCCATTTTCAACCTCCCTGTGCTGCCATAGAGAGTGTGAACCCCTGGCATGACCTTCTCCCCATTCCAAACAGTGGAGCATTCCTCTTTCCCCCTGGCTGTGCACCCCCATGCAAGGATGGAAGAGGGTGGAGGATATTTGTCCTGTTGCGTCTCCCACACTGATTTCCGCATCCCGTTTAAATGTCCATTTGCCACAAACCACAGCATGTGTTCCCATTGCTTCCTGCAACACTGAATAAAATGGGAGATAGGAGAAACCCTGCTACATGTACAGTGTCTAGCGAGGGAGGAATGTTGATTCACAAAACAGTGTCTATGAAATGCCCCAGCAATAGGGCTCCCATGTTTTTTCTGGGGAAGCTGCTCAGCAGGTAGATAGACTCCCCCACCAACCAGCCTCAGTTTGAACATGGGGGATGAGGGTTGTCACCCCCAATATTCCATCTCTCCTCTGCCCTTGCTGTTTCCCTTTGTGAAGCAAGGAGTGGGACTCTGTGGCGCTTGTTGACAAGTCTCCTAGGCAGGAGAAAAGGCATCCCTGGCTAGAGAGATGTGGGATGTGCTGGGACCTGCTCTGTCCAGGAGTCCTGATGGGAGTACAAGGGAACCAAAGACTGCCTCTCTCCTCACAGCGTGCATAGCAGTTTCTGCTTGACCTAGAAAATGACAACTCATGAACGTGTGAAAAAAAACCACCTTAGAAATCACTAGTGTTACTGTGATAGCAGGGGACCAGTCAGTGACCTGGGAGGACCCCACCAATGCCATGCCCAGGCCTCCTGATGGTGGGGGAGCAAACAGGGCAGTTGCCTCAGGGCCGACATCGCAGCGGTGAGAGCCCTGGGTCCCTGTAAATTGTTTCCACGTGGCTTTGACAGCTTGGGGTTGAGGTGTGATGTGTTTCAGGTGGTGCTGAGATCTGGCTGTGCCTGCCCTGTCAGGTCCCATCCCTTCCAAGAGTGCAGGGAAGGCTGGTGGATCTCAACCCCACTGGCTATACCCTTATGTTTCAAGGGTTAAAGCCAACCCAAAGGCCCTTCAGCAAGAGGAGCAGGCCAGAATCTGACCACATTTCTATTAAAAGTAATTCTGTACACGAGGCTTCTGAATGCTTGGGTAAAACATATCCTGCTATACCTACATTCAGGAACAGGAGGGGCCTGGAGAGGTGCCATACTCAGCATGAATACAAGTATGGCACCTTTTAAAAGACCCCTATGAAACTTTGAATAGTTTATTTCTTGACTGGAAAAAAAGGGGGGGGGGACTTTTGCAAAGCTGTCACATTGGCCAGTAGATTAATGACCTTTGCTGCTAAAAAAAATTGCATCCATATTTATTTTATTATGCTGACTACTGACATTTTAGTGAATATTTATGGCTTCCTCCTATAGGTTATTTTTGTTTAAATACAAAAAACTTCAGTACCCCTTTATTTCAGACTAGATATTTATTATTTGTGAAAATATGGCCCTTCCCCATATTCCCTGGTATATGTATTTTTTTCACATAAAATTGTTCCTTTTTGTTTTCATGGCAAACAAGTTCCAGATTTGCCTACAGCTTTTTGTTCAGTCAGACTTGCAACCTTTGTCTAAATGGTTTTCTCAGCACATTGAGCACATCTTAAAGATAACTTTAAACATAGACACATTTCATTCCAGCTGCAGCTTCTATTTTTAGGCAATGAGACCATACCAATACATGGGATCTATCATTTATATGGCATATGAAAGAGATACTGTTTTGTTTGTATTAATCATTAGATGTCATTATACATTACCTAACGTTGGGCTCAGTTCTGCTTATAGTTATTCCAGTGCTAATCTGAAGTAACCCTTCTAATTTCAGTGGAGTTACTCTGGATTTATACCAGAGTTACCAAGAGCAAAATTTAGTCCACAACAGTGTTCCCTGTGAGCTGGGCACTTGTGCAGCTGCTCAGGAGACATACTGTCCAGCTGATTAGCAGGGCGCCCACAACTAGGTTTTTTGTTTCTATGGGTGGTGTATATTCGCACATGCCTTGGTGCACACAAAAAAATTATTCCACACATGGATGGAAAACATCTGCACATGGATGGAAAAGATTAGAAGGAACATTGGTCCAGAAGTTTTTTTTCTTTACTAAATGCACATTACAAAGAGAATCAATCTGTAATCAATTAATATTTTCACCTACTAACCTGCTAACCTAACTAAAATCCTAAAATCACTCCCATAGACAGCAGGAAGGTTACTGGCCAAGTATAGCATGAATGACATGGCTATACTGGTACTTATGTTGGCCAGGCCAAAACAAAGCAGGGTGCTGAATGTTCTCAATCATTCCTTTTGTTACAACAATCTAGGCAGGCTTGGTGCTTCAAAGAATGTTTCTCTTGTTCTGTAAGGGCGTGATCTTGCTCCCACTGAAATTGGCAGTGAAGCAGGGTCAAGCCCTAAAATACTCCAGCAACTGTGTAGTGCTGATGCCTTGTCATGTACATGTTTTTATATGTCTATATGCACAAGGATGCTCTGGAAGAGGCAGAAATCTTTTGCCCCTTAAGAAGAGCAAATTTCAAGATGAATCCAAAAGGAACTATTATTACAATGGGCAAAGTCCATGCATTCCGAGGAATCAATTAGCATGTGAGACTGAACAATTGTGGTCCTGATTCTGCTTTTTTTTTTTTTTAAGTCACAGCAAACCTCCCATTGATTTCACTGGAGCAGGATCAATTGCCACCTGCATCCAAGTGGAAGTAAATATAAAATCTGCTTTTAAATCAAGTGTGAGACAATAATAACTAGAGAAAAGGCCAGTGGTGTTATATAAAATGGGTGAGAGAGCTGCAGTGAAAGGGAGGATTATGGATGTTTCTGAAATGAAACCTGAAATAATGAATGTGGACAAAGAATCAGTTCAGTGCACTTTGTAAAGAATGGATTTAATTTGCATCCTGAATCTGTATAGTAGCATCACTTGCAAATGCTTTGAATGCTTCATCTAGAGCTTTCTTGTCAGGTTGGTTTTGTACACTTGTCCTTCTTTTTATTGCATTGAACTCTGTAGGGGAATAGTTGATGAAAATAAACCTTTTCTCCACTCTACAATAAATCATCTTGCTCTCACCATTCCACAACCTCAGTGTTTTGGGTTTGCTGCTGCTCTGGGATAGGCTGCTACAGTGAATGGCTCTGAACAGTCTTCTGCTTAGCAAAAGAGTGACAGGTAATTGAGACTAGCTGCCTAATATGCATGAGTGAACAGATATGGTGCTAACTGCCTCCAGCTCCTATTGAGGTCCATTTTAGTTCTGAATCTCCCCACAAGATTTCTTGGCTTTGCAAGAAGTTGAGAATGCTGAGCATCTTGTAGGATAGGCGCTGAAATCACTGTGAAGGGCTTTGCATCACATTGTATTTTCCTAAAGAACATAGCCCACAAGCTCACTTGCATCTCCAGATCAAAGAAAGGTAGAGTGAAAAATCATGTGAGCATTTAATTTTATAAAAAGGTTTTGAAAGAATCGAGAGGCTGGTGCATGCCAGGCCTTATTTCCGTGTATGCCCTGGCATAATTCCAGGGAGCCAGATTCCCTCTCATTTACATCAATTTGTGGCCCTGATTCATGAAAGCACTTATTAAAAGGTAAGCAGCGGTTTAACAGATTTCCTGAATAGGAATGCTTTCCTGAACAGGGGTGGCTACTAAAATTACTGGCACCTTTTGAATGCCTGGGTACTACAATTGAGAGGTCACTGCTAATAAATAATTAATATAGCTTGTACACTCTTCATCAGGAGGTTGGCTCATTTTGACTTTACTGTGTATACATACTTATGGATCAAATACTTCAACAAAGGAAAAAATAAACTTTTTTTTCTTGTTGCTACAGCAGGGTGGGGAACCTTTTTTTGGTCAGGGGGCCACTCACCTACAGAAAAATCAGTCGGGGGTCACACAAGTGAGAAGAAAAAAAACCCCCTCACTGTGGCCTCTGACTGAGGAGAAAGACACTCCCCACATTCCCCTTGCACACTAGAACCTAGGTGGGGCCCAACTTAGTAGATTTTGTGCGCTACAGTTCCCCAAGGGGAGCCACAGGGAGGCTGGAGCACCAGCATGGATTCCCCAATGCTGGGGGGGCCCTGAGTCTTGGGGGCCGGATCCAGGCAAGCCGAGGGCCATATTCGTTCCACAGGCCTGAGGCTTCCCCACTCCTGTGCTACATAATAAAAGCCCCCATATTGCCTATCTCACTGCCCCATCAGCATGTTGGGCAGTAACTTGTAAATGGCAAAAGTATTGAATTCTGGCTGGACTGTGAATTAACAGATAAGTGAGCTCTCTGGTGGAAGTTGCTGAGCACCCTCAACTGTTGTTGCAATTAATGGCACTCAGAACCTTGCGGGATTATGATAGCCTAGTGCAGTGTTTCCCAATTGGTGATCCGTGGAACCCCAGGGTTCCACAAAGCGAAAGTAAGGGTTCCATGAGAATGCGGCATTGTCCCGCCCCCTCTTAAAGAGACAGAGTATTTTGCAGGTGCTTTTGCTCAACCAATTCTGGTGGGGCTTTTTTTTTTTTTTTTTTTGCTTGCCAAATTTTACTCTGGGAACCCTAGGGGTTCCTTGAAATTATTTTAAGCTGAAAGGGTTCCATGGCCAAATAAAATCAGGAAACAAGTGTCAGAGGATGCAACACAACTCAGCTCAATGAGGCTGCACCCATTTATGCCAATTTTGAGTTTGGGCTCTTACATTCTGTTTACCTGATGCCTGTCACCTGGGTATCTAGACTTTCGGGTCTGGGCCTCTCACCTGCATGCTCTCCTTTGACTAACCTGTCAGTGTGCTTTGCAGGGGTTTACTTGTGCCTAAGGATTTCTTTTTTGCTTTACAGTAAAATTGGAAATGATCACATTGGCACTCGGATAAATGTAACTAGTAGGACAGCTTTTATGATTTTTTAACGTGGTATTTGACAGATGTAAAGTATGTTTGCTTTGGAAAAATGTAGGTTATTGTTCAGTTTAAAAACAAATCCTTTACAATGACTAGTATTGAAAATTATGAAGAACATGGACCAATTCTTTTTTTTAAAAGATGCTGAATGGTTTGTTCTTAGTCCCAGCTAATGAGAGAATAAATAAATAAATGCAAGTTCCACCCAGTCTGATGTGGGTATTTTGAATCCCAAAGCTAAATCCCCAAGTTAGACTTTGAAAATTTACTCTGAACACTCAGTCTTCATTTTTGACTCTCTTGCTATCATATTATTAATCTGCATGTGACCTTTTTATAGTCACTTTTCTTAAAAGTCTGTTTTATACAATGACCAGATTCTGCTCTGCCTTGCAGCTCATGACTGCACCAGAGCAAAGGGAGAATTTATTTCTAGGGACGGCCGCCTTCTGGGAGAGGATAGCCTTTCTCTCTCCAAAGGGATCCAGAGATGCCACAGTGGCTAAATCAGCACAAATCCCAGGTACCTGGAGCACACTCTTCAACAGGCCGGCACAACCCTCCTTTTGGGTAGAGCTGCTGGAAATGGGCATCTGGGAGTCTAGGAAGCATGGACCATTATCCCTTGGGAGGGCTTTCTGCCCCTGGGATCCCATCTCCGCAGGCAAAAGCCAGCACATTCCATAAAATAAAGTTGATCAAAAAGGAATCTGTAAGCACAATAGGTCCAATCCTGCATTCTTTGAACTTTTCAGACACCCATTAATTTTAATAGTTTTGGTGTCACAAGGGCTGTGTCTAGACTGGCAAGTTTTTCTGCAAAATCAGCTGCTTTTGCGGAAAAGTGTCCGTGCCAATCCAGATGCTCTTTTCCGCAAATGCTTTTAACGGAAAAACGTTTCCGTTAAAAGCATTTGCGGAAAATCATGCCAGTGTAGACGTAGCCCAGGAGTATAGGTCCATAGCTAGAGATTCTAAAGGCACATTGTTAGCCTTCCTTAGCAGTATTATCTCTAGCAGCCAGCTATCTTACATAGTTAGACCCAGCTCTTGCATTGAGCTCCACTTGGGCACAGAGGTCTGCAGTCTGAGTGGAGTTTATCATTGCAGACTCAAAATGTAGGTATATGTATGTACATGGCAGACACTTATTAAAATATAGCTAGGCCACAGGAACTCCTTAGATACATTATAATCTGAAGCAGAGAACACAATGTGGCAACTTTTTTTATAATATAGTAATGGTGTTGGCACTTCACATGCACGCTCCAAACCCCAGCTTCTGAACATAAAATCTAAGCTAGCTTTGCTTTGTGTTTTCTGCTTCCCACCAGATTCCAAGGCCTCTGCTAAATGAAACCATGCTCTCAAACTGTTTTGAAAAATTGAAACTGTGTTAGAGGGAGCTGTCATTGCTGTTCACCTGAGATCCTGACTGGTAAATGGATGAGGGACCAAGCTCACAGAAACAATTTGCAGGCAGCTACGGGTCACATAAAATGCCAGCCAATATTTATTGACAGTAGCATACAAAATTCACAATATTACGAATGAGTCCAAAGCACAGGTCTCCAGAATATAAAGGACAATTCCCCATAACAATGGAACCCAGAGAGAGGTCCTGGGTCTGAATCCAAAGCCAAAACACTTGGAAGAGAAAATAATCTACATGTCTTAGAGGCAGAATTGGCAGCTTCTCTAGCCCTCTGCCTTTATTACATTGCTTTAGTATCTTAGCTATAGTAGTTTTTTATCAGAAGGGTTTGCTGCCTCATTGCATGAACATATTATATTAGAAGCAGGAAGTCTCTAGCATTGTTTTGGGTACAATAGAAATAAGGCAGATTCCCACCCTGAAAACCTTACACCATCTAAAAACAGACACCAAAGAGTGGGAGACGGCAAGGATCAACATAGAATGATTACTGACTGCAGAAAAGAGCCAGAGTGAAGGGATCTGACATTGCCTTTCGTTTCCACCATCACCCACAGTCTTCATGCTCCTAAACAGCCTCAGAAAGATTTCCTTGCACCTTGAGAATAACATGAGCCTTTCTGTAGTACCTTTCCCAGAAGCTCACTCAGTCCAAGCCAAAGGGGTGGGGGGAGAAAAGAAAAAAGAAAAACAAGAGAGAGGAAAAATAAGTCAGCTGGAAATCAATTTAATGAATCAGTTTAGAGTTTATGTCCTTGCACATCCCCATGCCAGTATGGAGAGTCTCCAGTTGTCTTGCAACCACCAATTTTACAGCATCTACAGGGAGAACAGCAGCATCCCAGCTCGACTTCTTCATGTATGAACAATTATTACACATGGCTAAACTGAGGTACAGAGAGGCTAAGTCTAGATCTATATATCAACCCTATACCTCCGCCTGGGATTGGCCTCGATTAGGGACATAATGTTAAATCCAAGTGGAGACAAGTGATTGTAGTTTTACCACTAAGGTAGATATATTGAGTTAGCCATTTCAATCTAAAAACATACTGCTTTTTTTTTTGTAAAGAAGACAGAGCCATAAATTGTAAATAGCTGGGGCAGTGCTTGCTTTTTTAAAGGTCATTCTCACTTGCTGTTTAAATGAATATGGGATTGTAGCTGACTGAAACATGTCCCAGGCCTAGGAGATAATTTAGATTTACCTCAGTTATGAGGCTGTATCATACATGGGAATCATTTAGGTTTGACATTTTCTGATAAAACAATTATAGGTTTAGATTTCTTTCTTGCTGACAGCAGTTCTGCCAGACAAACACAGTATGTCTCTCTTACTGGGCTTTGATTTTTAATCTTTTTTTTTTCCTGGAGGCTGCGGGATTTTCCAATTCTTGTTTGACTTGTCTTCTGCCAATATATCTAGTGTCAGTGCCACCTAGTGCATCATAGAAGCATCACAACTGTTACCTTTGTGAATTTACTGTATGTTTGAAATAGACCAGTGGTTCCCAAACTTTTTGGCATCACACCCCCTTTTTGATTTTTGAAAAACCCTCACGTCCCTCTCCCCCAAAGTAGCAGCAAAACTTGTTGAGCAAACAAACAAACAAACAAACAAAAAGGAGCTGACCAGGGCAGCAAAACTTGGGGGGAGGCTGGGTCACCTCCCCTGGAATTTCTTCACCTGCCCCCCCCACCCC